CATGGTGCAGATGCTGCTTTCACTACAGGTTTATTATGTTTACTTGTATGTATGGACTGTGGCTGCGAGGGAGTGCGGTCGTCTTTCAACCAGAAGGTTGTGGGTTCGATCCCAGCCCGCCGTGCAGTCAACATGTCGATGTATCCTTGAGCAAGACACTTAACCCTGAGTTGCTCCCGATGGCCAACGGTGTGTGAATGTTAGTTCCTAGAGTAAGGTGCTCTGTATGAATGGGTGTGAATGGGTGAATGACATGTAGTATGTAAAGCGCTTTGAGGGGTCTTAAAGACTGGATAAAGCGCTATATAAAGTACAGTCCATTTACCATTGTGTGTGTTATTTATCACCTGACTATAGGGAGGTTTACTGATTGGATGAGCTTGTTGAAAATCAGGTTTCAGGGTTTAAAGCTTGTACAATGTAATGAACAACAGGACTTTTAAACCAGTTTCAAATGAGCTAGCAGTGCACATGAGTTCCTGGAAAGGATAAGTTGTTGCATCATAGATGTCATAGCAACCACTGCTGGAGAATGGAAATATGCCTGTTTTTCCTGCCACTATGGTAAATGGTGTTATGACAACACTCCTGAAATGTGTCTATTTGAGCTGATGTATAATATAATGACTTCATAAGATGTTTGCCTTGGATTTGATCCAATCTGACAGATATTTAGTTACATGACTCAACTTAGTTGGACTCCGCAAAAGCATTCAAATAAATATAATAGAACATATAAGACAACCAGGAGCCAGCTGGTTGTTAAAAGTATTGAGTTTACTTTGAATGACTTGAATGCATGACTACAACTTTTCTTCTGATTGACTTTTGAAAAAGATAGAAAATGCATACATGCACACAGACCGTGACAGTGATGTGCCTAGTTCTATTGACTGTGTTATTACATGATATATTATTAACATAGCACCAGTCATTCATTACAGTATACTTGCTGATATCTTTATGCAAGAACCTTAACATGTTTAACCAGAGAAGTAGCACATTATGAAGTAGAAATAGTTCTAAAATAACAAGATGTTACATTTTAATGCATTTTGGATTATAATATATATTTAAAAAGTAGTTGGGTCCACTGCAACACTGCTGTCACAGCTTCAACCTGCAGAGTTACAACGCAGCTAACTGAAGAACGTTTTTTAAATGTTAGCGAAGCTCTTCTCCAACGTGAAAAATCACTTCTTGATGGATATTATGTTTAAAGTTGTCTGACAACATTTCACCCAGTCTTTATCTGGGTGATGACATCAGATCACAGGACTTTGAGTTTATACCTGGTATAAAGTGTGTTGTCACTTATTCCATCTTTCTGGCAATGCGATCTGATAGCAGACAAATGAGTTGAGCCGAGCCAGCTTGTAGCAGCGCAGGTCAACAGAACAGACGCTTTTTTGTCCAGTTGAAGTATAAACAAATACAGCTTTGAGGTTAATATGAGCTGTGAGTCCTAATGCTGCAGAACCAGCTAATGCAACATACAAATAATATAACACTATTAAACATGTGCAAGATATAGAATAATACAGTCATCTTTTTTTGTTTCACAATTGTTTAAGCAGTGACTTTTTATACAGGACTGAATCTACTGAACATGTATTGTGGTCAGCATGTTGACACCACTCTGTTGCTCAATAACATGTTTAAGTACATATTCCATATATAACCAGCTGAGTGTACTATTTAAGATTGTGCTCATTTTACATTTAGTTACTTTACTGTTTTTAGATGGAGGAGCATGTTATCGCTGCAATGACAACCTTCCAAAGTTTGCGTCACTATTCTGGAAAGTTGAAATGGCTGTGAAGTGTGGGATTCCTTAAAGCCCTTAGATCAGGGGGGGCAAACTCAATTTCATGGTGGGCCACATTAGCATTACGGTTGCACTCAAAGGGCCGGTTGTAACTATATAAATATACATATATATAAATACATAATATATATGAAATAATGTATAATATTATATTATTGCCTCTGCATTGGATTTTTATCGGATAGGGTAATAACTTCATAATTAACTACGTCTGAAAGCAGAAGTCTAGGGCAAATCATTGCAAGTCTCTTCTGTGCATGTCACAAAATGAGATGCATTGTGGGACATGTAGTTTATGGGCAACGTGCTTCTGTAAGGTAAGATAAGATGGATCTTTATGAATCCCCGTGGGTAAATTCAGTAGTTTAACAGCAACAGGGTGAGATTGAAAAACAGGACAGCGCAGATTCACACAGATTTATACAACTAAGGATAAATCAAAGATACAAATAAGAAAGATAAATAACTATAAAATAAGAAATTAATTAAAAATATATAGATATACTGTAAAGTAGCATGTAACCGTATAATAAACGTATTATATTCTTTGCAAGCTCTTGCGGGCCCCATCAAATGAAGCCGGATTTGGCCCCCGGGCCTCGACTTTGACTCCCCTGCCTTAGGTGAAGCCGTGGCTTTAAATGCAGCATCCGAGTGCTGTTGTGAATGAGCACATCCTCTACAGGCCTTACCAACACTACGTCAGTGCCACGTCTTCCACGTCTTCCACAACACAGTATCAAACCGATCATAGTGCAGTTGATAAGGATCATTGCCAAACGTAAAGTCCTGGCCGCTCCCTGTAAGCACTATTTGCTAGACAGAAGGAAGCTGCCTATGTTCAAATGAAACCCTGATAATCCAGAGCACATCATTCTTAAGGCACTTTTTGCCACAGTGCATACTTCTGTCAGTGAATGTATACAGTTGAAAACGTCATATGCTGACATTTAAAGCACTATATATATTAATGTTAAATTACTATCTTAAAAAGTCTTACAGGAATGCCTTCAATTCATTAAAAAGTCCCAAAATACTAAAAACTTCCTGAAACCAGAAAAGTTTCCATTTGATAACAAAAACGTTTTTTAATCCATTATCTTTGTAGAAAACAAACACGTTCCTATTTATGCAAATATGAAATAAGAGTACATATTAATGTTAGTTGTCATCATAGGAATCAAGAGAATATGTAATTACTCTTTTTCTTTTTGAAGTCACTATTTCGGTAATGAGCTACGAGCCTTCTTCTAAAGTCACACAGCAGAAGTATTTGGATACTTTAAATAGCCTTTCTGTCTGTGTTGTTAAACAAGCCTTAATCGATCAGAGCATCTGATGACAGGAACACTCTGCGCTGCATGGAGTCCACACAAAAAAAGAGTAGGACCTTTAGTATTTTGAAAACATTAAGCGTATTACCCGGATACTTTTAGCAAGAACTCATGAACTCAAAGCATGTCACAGGTCAGTTTGATTTTTGTCGAAGACTTTTTTTTTTCTTTGACTATTTGACAAGGTTCTCTGGTTCTGAGTTACATAACCTATTTTTGGAATTACTACAGCTATAATAAATGCAAGCTGTTAGATCATAAATATATGTACACTACATTGCCTTTAAATGAGACTTATTCTGTGTTTTAATACCTCCTTAACATACTGTTTTGTTCTTATTCCTTTGGTTGTTTTATTCTTGAATTGTTGTTAGCTACCCATTAATGCTATTTGCTTCCTCTTTTTTTGTTATTATTTCGATTTCTTGCCTTTTTATTCATTTGTTTATTCAGTTTAGAAATGTATTTAATGTTATTAAATATTTATAATTTATTTTCGGTTAAATCCGTAATATAAAAGATAGTAACGTACTTTTGACTGGTTGTCATTAAGTGAACTAGCTACTGTCTAGTAGCTAGTTAGTCAGACAGTTGGACGTTACGTTACAGAGCCACAGAGTGAATGAAACAATACAGTCAAGTTTGTAGGTTAGTAACTCTCACTTGTTGTTTGATGTGTCCCTTTCAGTTCATTTCATTCTACAGAAATAGTATTAACACTGTACTGTCTTTAAAAGACACATTTAGAGTCAGGTGACCGTGTTCGGGTGCCGTTAACAGGAGAGCCTGTCAACTTCCCGGTTCCTTTCCTGTCGTTAGCCCGCAGGCTAACTAACAAACTAACTAACTAGCGGTTTGACTAACCCGTCAACTTCAGGAGCTTTCTTTCTCACCTCGTTTATTTTTCGTGCCATTCTTCTTCGCCGTAACGAGCTCCTCCCCGATTTTCTTTTCTAAAAAGTCCTGTTTTTTGGCCAACATCTCCTCGGTTTCTCGGAGTTTCTGGATAGCCTCCTGGGGTGTCGGCGCTTTCCCACCCTTACCCTTGTCGCCGAATAACTTAGCAAACATCGACATTTTGTTAGTAAATGTAAACAATAACGGCTGATGTAACCGTACACGAACAGCCGGCCCTTTGTGGTACAGGACAGGTGGTCGTTAAATTGCTTGGTTGTCTTTCTAGGTAGCTATAACATTAGTAACCGAGCGGAGGGCTGCCGCTGCTGCTGTTGTTGTTATTTTTGTCTCTTCTTCCGCCTCTTCCAGAAAGGCCCCGTGATGTCATTACGTCAGCGCCGTTACGTGACTCATGCGCGTCATGCGTTCAGGGAAATTCACAAATGAGCTGTTAAAAATCTGACAGAAAAATGTATCTATTTTTAGAAATCGTTTACCTTCAGAATTACATTTCTTATTGATATAAAACTTACATTTTTTGTTTTTAATATTGCTATTGCCAAAAGTATAAAAACGTTTTTTTAATTCATTATTATTTATATTATTAATATTTACTATTTTTAGCTCAATAATAACTTGTGTCATTATTGTATAACAACCTAATAATTTTAACTGTTTTAATTTCACCTCTGTCAGAATGTATTAGTTGGTATATCTTTTCTAAATTTGTATTTGTATGCAAGGCAATTGTCCAAAACTAAAAATCCCCTGGTTAAGATCATAAGTGATCATGTTAGTTCTAATGTAATGATAAGTCTGATAAACCACGATAAAAACATCAGGTCAGAATTCAGGAAGCAAATAACTGCTGGATGTTACGCATTGATGCATGATAAACAACATGTCCATCCATCCCACATCTGGAAGTATAACACGTCATATTGTGATTGATGTTTTTAATTTTTTAAATGCTACATAATCATAACTCACTAATAAGTCAGTCAGTTATTTTTCGGTAAAAGTCACAACTTCCAATCAGCTGCAAGCGCCAAAAGGCCAGCCTAGTTCCTTCAGAAAACTACACCTCCCATGATTCACTGTGGCATATTTTTCCAGCTGAAGATTTGAATGACCTGAGCGCCAGCCAATCAGAGCCTGCGTTGTTTGAGGGACAGGAGGAGCGGGAGCCACCTGGAGCACAGAAACATGGGGTGAGATAGATGTACACAGGGGTGGAGAGTAACTAAGGAATATACAAAGTATGCATTTGAGCTATACTTGTACTTCACTTCAGTATTTTATGCTAGCTTATACTTTTACCCCATTGCCTTTTGTATGCCAATATTACTTTTACATTTGTACTTGTAACAGAGTATTTTTACACTGTAGTATGTCTGCTTTTTTCTCAAGTAATGAATGACTTGAACACTATGCACAATTTATCCATAAAAAATATAAGTATGGATGTAAATAACTTACTTGGATATTTCTTTCTGTAGGGGTCAAAGGTCGTGCTGCAGGGCCACTGGGAGGCTCCGCTCTTAAGACCTCCTTTAACTTCACACACTCCCTCTCGTACTGAAACACATTGTAAACATATAATCAAATTGTGAGCTTGTGCGATCCTCACTATTGTATGAATTAATGCAAAGACTTGAAACAATGTGTGTGTTTTCTTTGGTGTGTCTCTGTATGTGATGACTGGTAGTAAAGTGAAGTAAAGGATTTAAGTACACTTTTAAGGTAATTGTACTTTATTTGAGTATTTAGATCCCCTGCTTATACAGAAGACTACTTCACTACAATAACACTTACCCAGCAGGATATGTAGTGTGTGTGTGTGTGTGTGTGTGTGTGTGTGTGTGTGTGTGTGTGTGTGTGCGTGTGTGTGTGTGTGTGTGTGTGTACCTCCTTGTAAGCCTCGGTCAGGGAGCCCCACTTGCTTGGCCAGACAGAAGCCGAATCCTTCTCAACTTTTACATGTGCTTTCCTACACACACACCCACACACACCCGCACACACACACACACACACACACACACACACACACACACACACACACACACACACACACACACACACACACACACACACACACACACACACACACACACACACACACACACACACACACACACACACACACACACACACACACACACACACACACACACACACACACACACACCTATATTATATATATTTGAAACTGGCAAACCCATCTATTTAGTTCTTGTTGATGTAGCTGCTGCCTGCTCTTTGGTTTGGTTTGTTTGAGTCTAGTTCTCCCACTGATTTGTTACTGTCTCACATGTATAATGTATTTCTTTTATGCTGACCATTTGAATTGCACTAAACAAAAGGAAAAGGAAAGCTGAAGCTAGATGCTAACAAAATAATAAATAGCTTATTTTTGCTTAAACAAGGCATATATAGGTAATGCATCGTAGTACTAGCAAGAGCTAGAGAACATGCAGAAGGAAATTGATCTGTGCGCTTTTTTAAATGAAAACAACATGTATTTTTTATTTACTTTTTAATGCTGTAATGATAACATTTTCTGGTTGGATACTACCAAATATTTAAATGTATAGACAATGTTTCTAATCAAATGTAATGTATACCATGTCAACAACATGGTGCTCTGCAGATATATTATCTATCTATTTTACATTAAAGAGAGTGAAATTAACCCAGTGGAAAACACATTAAGATTACGAACTACAAAACATAGAACAATTATTTAAAAAATGAAAACAATATTAAAGTGTTAACAATGAACAATAAGTCATTCACAATAATCACACAGGAAGACACGTCTCATGTTTTAAAACAAAATAAAGATTAGAATTAGTACTTATTCTGACTTTTCAACATCCAGTCAACTTTACGCCAACCCCCCCACCACAACGAATCAAATACATCTTTGTGAATGACTCTGGCCTCTTTCACAAAGAGTGATACAATAAATACCAATGGTAAGCAACATTAAATCAGATAACAGTGAGCAGGTTTACCAGATTTCATCTTGATGCACAAAGTTGATGGGCTTAGATGTTCCCTGTGGATCCGCCATTTATCCTGACCAGAGTGTGTGTGTGTGTGTGTTTGTGTGTATGTGTGTGTGAGGCTCTTTAGTTTTGTCCGGCTAATGTTTCACCTGTGTGTAAGTTACACTGACAAAACTGTTTACCGTCACCATGGGGACGGAGTTCCGTGACACTCACATACACATATATCTCTGTGTAACCGTGGCGATGATAGGATGGAAGCACTGGAGGGGAACTCAAACATTAGAGAGGTGTCCACTGAAATATCTCGATAACTCATACATACTCTGAAATAGAGTGGTGCAGGGATGAGTCCTTAAACCTGGGGATGAGTTAGCATTTAGCACTTCTGGGACTTCAACAGGAAATAAGGTCTGTGGTTAACAAAATCTTTGACATCAAATTCTTCAGTAAACACACCTGCATGTCTGAAGCTTATGTGTCAAAGAAAACAGGGGTTGCTAACAAGTGGTAAACGACATCTCGCCGAACATTAGCCTATTTTAGCTTAGCGATGGTGACGTGAAGTTATGTGACCGTAGTTTAGTTTGTTTATAGCGTACATTTACCCTTTTACTTCTGGAGATTGCATTTACACTTCAACTATTTTAAAGAGGTGTTAATATGTGGAGATTATCCTTGTGGACAAACCTGATGGTATCTTAAACAGAGGGAGGCTGTGGCTCAGTGGGTAGTGTGCTGGACTTCGAATCAGGGGATATCAAGTTCGAGTGCCACTGCAGTCAGCATGTCGTTGTGTCCCTGAGACACTTCACCCCAAATTGCACCTGTGGGGATTGTCCACAGTACCGAATGTATGTAAGTCGCTTTGGATAAAAGCGTCTAACAAATGTAGCCACAGATCATATTTTCTTCAATATTAAAAACAATTCTCATTGCTATTGTGGAGGAAGCCTCTTTGATGCTAACTTCCGAGTTGGCCTGAACAATATGTCGTTGTACCACTCTCTACAGATTCTGAATTAGGCTTCTGATCACCGTTCACCCACACACTAACCTCCTTTTCCCCTCTCTCTCCAAGTGAGGTTCTTCCCCTCATTAACCCTGGACACCACCCTCTCTTTCCAGGCGCACGTCAAATCTGTCACCAAATCCGCCTTCTACCACCTAAAAAACATTGCCAGAATCCGGCCTTCACTCTCTGACTCTGTGGCAGAAACCCTGGTACACGCCTTCATTACATCCCGTCTGGACTATTGCAATGGCGTCAGTCCGGGGTTCCCAGCAAAACCCTGGATAGGCTCCAATACGTCCAGAACTCTGCCGCCAGGCTTCTCACCCACACCAAGCCATGGCACCATATCACCCCCACCCTCATCCACCTACATTGGCTGCCGGTCAAGTCCCGGATTCAATACAAAACACTCATCCTCACGTACAAGTCCCTCCATTCCCTCGCCCCCCAGTACCTATCGGACCTCCTCCATCCCTACACCCCTTCTCGGAGTCTGCGATCCTCAGACACGGGCCTGCTCTCCATCCCCCGCTCTCACCTCCGAACTGTTGGTGACAGGGCATTCAGTGTTGCGGCCCCCACCCTCTGGAATGCACTTCCTGCCGAGATCCGTAATGCTGCCTCCCTGGACATCTTCAAATCATCACTAAAAACACACCTGTTCAACCTGGCCTTCGGGCCCTAGCCCTTTTCTGGTCCCCCGGCTTCCTTTATTTATTTATTTGGTTTGCCCGTTGATTGTCTGTTTGTTTTGTTTGTCCACCATGTACAGCGACCTTGGGTCCCTTGAAAGGCGCTATATAAATATCATTATTTATTATTATTATTATTATTATTACCTCTGCCCGTTCTACCACCTGTCCTCTGGACCCTATCCCCTCAAACCTCCTTCAGACTACTGTTATGTGATGTCTTTCAAAGAGAAAAGCAAGAACACTCGGAATTAAGTATTCTTTTATTCTTTTAAAATGTTTTCCGGATTTCATATCATATAAACACCAAATCCCAGCATGCATTGCGGCTACAACATCCAATCAGCGAGCTTAAAGCATAGCTCATAGATCTTGGGTAATCGCTCGAAATGCCTACGTCTGTTTCCGGTTAGTTTTATTTTGAAATTCAGTTCCTGACGGACGCCAAAAAAGCCAGAGATTATGGAATTAAACCAATAAATAAAAGCAAGGATAATTGTGTGTTATTGGTGAGTAAATAACAGTGTGTTATTTTTAAAAGAATAACAAATTAGAAGGAAACAAATATTTTAAAAATACAGATTTCAGTATTCTGAGGCTCTGAGCCCCATTTATTTTCCTCACAGACGGCAACAAAAGTCCGAAATTATACGATTTAAAATAAAAGCAATAATTGTGGCTTGATATTGAGTAAGAACATGTTTTTATGAACCACACAGCTTCCAGTCTTCCACGACCCGACCGGAGAAAAAGACGTGCTGCAGGCACGAAACACATTACCAGTAGAAATACATTGCTTTTAAAATCGTGCTGTGCAACACGAAAAAAAGGGGGAAATCGTGTTGGTGAACACGAATCAATAGATTAAAAATCGTGTTGGTGAACACGAAATGCCATGAGACTGGGTTGAAATGTTTTGGCATCTTCTAAATCACACGAGATATATTCTTGAGACAATTGGAGTGATAATTTTCTTCCTTTTTGAGAGGAAACACCTCCATTGGACTCCTTAGTTTTCTTCTGTGACAAAGTGCCGGTACTCAGTAAAATGCCGGTACTCAGCCGCCGGCCGCACATCATGACGGCCCGGACTGGCCTGTTAAGTGGCCTGCTGGCCTGAGGATTTTTTTTTATACGTATTGTGAACGCGGCGCAAATGTGGGTCTGACTCTGCCTCGCAGAGGGTGACTGGCTGTCTACATCAGGGGTTCTCAAAGTGCGGCCCGCGGGCCAATGGCGGCCCTCGGAAATGTTTCTGGCGGCCCGCGATAGTTAATGTGACACGCTGAAATGCATGCGTTATATTTGAATCCTCCATGGTTGTATCTAGTAAGAATTAGAATGAGTAGCTTTCCAGCGGTATCTCCTGTGAGACTGTAACCAGGGCACAGCAGCCAATATGGCCGCTCAAAGCAGCTTGACTTTACACTGTGTGGGATTGGTGGATTTGTGTGTCCGTCAAGGAAATCTCGGCCGGCAGCCATCACGGTCTGAAATGACCAATGGACATCGAGAAATCACTAAGGGCCTACCCACCAAGTAAAAAAAACATAAACCACGTGTCTCCCATCAGTTTACATCTGTGAGGAGAGAGAGAGAGAGAGACAGATAAAATGGCTAAAAAAAACTTTACAGTTGCCGACTTCGCTAGAGATTTTTTTTCGCTAGCAGCAGTGAAGATAGAGCCTCAGAACCTGAATTTTTCGACTCTTCTGAAGAAGAAGAATACAAAGACAACAACAAGGATCCATTTGGACATGGGTAAGTGTAAATATTACAGTAATAGTGTACTGGCAATGTGTGGGGAATACCGCGAAATTGAACAATAGGTTTATTGATATATATTTTTTATCGATAGTCATGAACTTTTTATTGGAACAAAATAGACTCTCCATTAGCAAACGTTTACTCTGTGTTAACGTTATTTTGGTGTGTAAAAGTGAGATTACATGTGTAGATGATTAAATTAATCATTTATTCGTCCCACAACGGAGACATTTACAGTGACATGTTTTTGCCATCGATTATTTTATCATACTGTTCTGTACAGATGAGACTTTGTCATAGATTTATTTATATGTGTGCCTGTTATTATTTTACCGTCCTGTACAGATGAGACTTTGTAATCAGATGTAGCCTATGTGTGTCTGTGATTTTATACTGAATGTAAAGTAACTGGAAATACCTGTGTGTGTGTGTGTGTGTGTGTGTGTGTGTGTGTGTGTGTGTGTGTGTGTGTGTGTGTGTGTGTGTGTGTGTGTGTGTGTGTGTGAGAGAGAGAGAGATCGAGAGAGACTCCTTCTGCAACCTCCCAAACTTTATTTGTATGTGTGCATTGTTATTTGTGCTTGAGCAACATTTTACTTGAACTTTATTTCAATAAAATTAGTTGTAATTATTGTCCTACACAGGCGGCGTTTATCCAGCAGCCACAACATCCATCTGTGCCTGCCCCCAGGTCAAGATCTACTGTGGCTCAAGGGCCTTCACCAGAGCCATCACCACCAAGGACCAGCAGACCAGCATCACTACAGCTGCCTCCACCTCCATCTGCGGCTGCCACCAGGTCAAGATACACCTCAGCACAAAGGCTCCACCACAGCCATCACCTTCAACCCAGCCAGCAAGGAGGTCTCGTATAGCACTTGTACACCCCACCTACACAGCAGCCCATGCACCATCACCCCCACCTACACAGCAGCCAGACCCACTGTCTTGGAAGACAGACAAAGACCTTGACACTGTCTTGACATTTATAATGAATAGTTGGTTGAAAGTTCTGATGTTCAATATTGTAAATAGTGAGATTTTCCAGTTTCTTATATTTATATAAATAGTTGGTTGAAAAAAACATATTTATAATAAATTGTTGGTTGAAAAAAAAAAGATTGAATGCTCAATTTGTATTTGTACACATCACATGAACCTTGGTATGTAATATGAAGTCATTATTCAGTCCTGATGTATCTCAGTCCCTGCTGTGGTGAAAGTAGAGTGATAAACACCTATTTTACTCAAAATTTGAATGTAATGTTTTTCATTTTAGACATGAATAACACATTTATATACAAATTGTAATTCAAATATTTCACTGCTTTTGTGATCCTATGACTTTGGTAACCAAATCTAAAACACCAAAACAATTCGATCACATGAGTAAATTTGTGTTTTCACAAGAGTTTTGAAGATTTTCCAAAAATCAGATTTCACATTTTAAGCTTTTGAGCTACTTATCTCATCAAACAGTGCTCTAAGGTGAGTAATATGCATATATAGCAAGACCAGAGATTGTCCTGAACATTTTGATATTTAACACATGGGGGGCCATGTTAGAAGAAATACATTTAAAAGGTTATTTAAGAAAACATCTAAAAATCGAGAAAATACCCTTAGACTCCAGAGGGTTA